GTTTTGGGACATGAGATTTTTGTTCAAACTACTTTTTACTCCATAAAAATTCATGCTCAAACCACACACACACACACATATGTGTGTGTGTGTGATATATCAACAAGACCAACTATGATTTACAATTGATTACAAAGATGGTGGAATTGTTGATTAAGTGTGCATTGCACATCTTCATAAGAAATTTCAATTTGGTTCAGACTTCAGGATGTGGAGAGCAGGAGATCTGAATTTTGTAGACTTTTTCAAGGCTAAATTAGAGCAGACATGTTTCGGTGATACATGGTGAGATACATAGAAAAGAGAAGGCATAAAGCCGATAAAGGCAACCAATTTGAAACACATCCGCCTCATTAACCAAAATATCTAATCAAAACAGCATTGGGAGTCATCAATGATCAGCTAAGAGCCTGCCAAGAAGACAAACACGATACACCAAGTTCCATGGCATCCCACAGAAAATCGATAAGATTATTTGGTTAGGGGTGAAGAAAATCCAGTAGTTCTGGAAAACAGATAAAATATACTAGTAAAAATTTCTGGATTATCAACATTTTAACAGGTACAGAAATCACTTCTGACTACTACCTGAGTTGAACCGAACCTTCACATCTAATATCAACCAATCAAGCTTTATCTCACTATGGTGTTTATTATAGCTCAGCACCACATGAAATGATGAAACAACCTCATGATCCAGCCTAGAGCTTCACACTATAAGACTGAAACGCTTCGTTCTTTTCATGTCCCATAGTTTTGCCAAAAATAGGAAGATTTTAGAGCAAGAACAATGAAAGTCCAGCACTTAAATTAAAACTCAATATTGTAACAAGACATAATTCTGTAGCCTTAACTCTCCATATTACAATCAAAAACAACATTGTGATCCAGAAGACTGGAACAGCCGTATTAGTGAAAGTACACTTGTCTAAGTTTCCAATTTGTACTATCCACTTAAATCACAAATCTACATAATATTTTCATACTGTATCATTTCCACTGGATTATAATTTTTGTTCTATGTCAAAGTGAATGTCAATTTTGATCCTTGATTGTGACACCCAAATATTGTACTAGGCATCACCAACCATGTACTAGCTTACAACAGAACAAAGTCAAGAGATCTGACAATTAAAGATGAGACAAACATATAATCAATTTTTTTAAAAAAATTTAAGCAAACAAAAATGAAGCCATATTTCAAACGTAGTCAAATCATGTACCAACAAAATTTACAACTCTATAATTACCATTTTTTTTTAATATTTATAACATTAAATAAAAATAATAATAATAATAACACAAACACAACTTTCATTCCTTGAATAAAAAAGAATAAAAATTAAACAGTATAACTCCTTTGTTATACAGTAAAACCCACCAAAATCTACACCAAACCCATGATTAAACAATTGATTTACCAACATGAAACCCAAAAATCAACATTTTGATAAATTCACATAAGGAAATTAAAACAGAAGAATATAATTAAACCTTTTATAATAAACAAAATAAAATTAATGCTATAATGTTACCTGTTTGTTGGAAAGGTGGGAAGAGTAAGGAAGATGAAAATTAAGGGTGAGTTTGGAAGGAATTGAAGTGGGTATTGGAGGAGAAGGTTGGATAAATGAAAGAGGAATTTTTGGTGGGTCAAAGTTGGGCACAACTTTCATCCATGCTTCATTGAACATTTCCTCTGCTTCCGCCGGCGCCGCCGTGTAAACGGTGGAGAACCACCGTGAGGCGGCGGCGCCGGCGAGTCGTGAAGCTCTTGCTAGCATGAATCGCTCGGCTCGCAAGTCGGAGAGAAGAGAGAGAAGTGAGGAGTGAAGTGTGATGAAGTATGAAGTGAAGCTTTCAATTGTGATTGTGTTTTATGTTTATTTTGGAGGAATTTGTTTGGTTTTGGGAGAAGGGAGATGGGTTTTTGTTGGGTTGTGGAAGGTGATTTTGACTAGCCAATGACCAAAAAAAACATTGTGGGGTTCGTTGAGAAATTATTTCCCAATTATAATTATTGGAATAATTGGCCAAAGTTGTATGTTTATTCAATTCAATTTTAATAATTAATTCAGATAAAAAGCCAGTTAATAATGTTTATGCTTATATAGTTATATGTACCAATTGTTTTGATTTGATTTGAGATGTGTCACAAATTACACGGAGTAATATGTCGAAGTAACAAATAACCCTTATTGATATGTGTTAGCGTCATTTTTACATTACTACCACGTCGATCACCAACTCATAAATTTTAAGTTATTTATAGTTAGCTTACACGTTTATGGTATTATGGTGTTATGGGTTATGGAGGGAAAGGGTAGTTTGTACTCACTGGTCATCTCACCCATGCGCACAATTTGCACTTGTTTCTAAAAAAGTTACGGACCTTACGGTGAGGGTTACGAAAGAAGTGATATGTCTCATTATTTCCATTCCATTAGTGGCGATTGCCAAGTATTGGAATCTTGCAAGAAAAACTAGTCTATTAAAAAATATAGTATAGATACAAAGTATATACTATTGATCTTCCAAAATTGAAAGTAGTGGCGCATCTATCTGAGATAGGAATCAAAATCATCAACTTTTAGGGCATGTTCCGATTGACTGAACTCAGCTGAACTGAACTGAACCGAACTGAACTGAACTGAACTGAACTGAACTGAACCGAGCTGAACTGAACTGAACTGAACTGAACTTATTAATTAGTGATTTTTAACTACGGATTAGTGATCTTTGATTATTTATTGATATTTATTACTATACATATGTGTATATACAAATGTACATATTAAAATATTTACGAAAAATATACTATATAATTATAATTATAAAATGTATGGAAAATATATTAAAAACTTGAAACCTCTAATTTTCTCAATGAGATTAACATTAGAAATATGTTTCAAAAAAATAGAACCATTTGAACAATGAATTGTATCAATATTATTATTGTTATTATTATTTTTAATTATTGATAATTATTATTATTATTATTTATTGATTATTATTATTAGTATTATTATAGTATTATTATTATTATTATTATTATTGTTATTATTATTATTATTATTATTATTTATTGATTATTATTATTATTTATTGATTATTATTGTTAGTATTATTATTATTATTTCAATTATTATTGTTATTATTATTATTGTTAATATTATTATTATTATTATTATTATTATTATTATTATTATTATTATTATATACTATTTATTATTATTATTTTTTTTGTTGTTGTCGTTGTAATAAGATCTTAAAAGAATGAAATTTGGCTTTATATCATTAGCAATATCATTAGACATAAATTAAGAAATGAGCTGAACTGAACTGAATTGAACTGAACTGAGCTGAACTGAAATGAATTGAACTGAACTGAACTGAATTTCAACGGAACAGAACAGGCCCTTAGAGATAAAACACTTAAATATAAGTACTTTAAGGTCACACACAAACATGATTGCTTCTTTGGTGGTAAATATAAAGTACTAGTATAGAGGTTGTTAAAAATGTGAAAGTGGGTGGGTTGAGTCATATTCCATTTAGCTTCGAAAGCCTAATTATAACATAGCTAGGTTGGTATCTTTGGATTTTTATACCTAAAGTGTTTTTGCACTTTCTTCTACTCTCTTTTATTTTTCTTTGGCCTTTCCATATTTTAACCTTCTCCTTGAGTTGTGCTATCTTTGTGGTGATGGCTTAAGTCCACTCTTTGTTTAAGAAATTAAGCAAGGTAATGACTTGTTTCTTAACCTTGTATCTTTAAATTTGATTGACAATTTATTAGATCATTTATGAATTTTTTCTATATATAGATTATGATTGATTATAATGGGGTGACAACTCTAATAATTTGTCCAAATGACAATTTTTTCTGAAGACCTTGTTAGATATTAATTGCTACTTCAATTGGCCATTAATTTAAAATTTTGCTTATTGCCTCTACTTTCTTACCCTATTTTTTATGGAGTTATTTAAAGTCTGTTATTTTTCTCGACTTTATACTTTAAGATTTTATCTCAGCTACGATTATTTGTATATTGTTGGGGGTTGGTCTACATTCCCTACCAGTTTGTTGAAGTTGTGATACGTTTGACTCCACCTTCCTCACCGTTATAGTCATTTGAATAATTAAAGTCATCATCTTAGTTTGCCGTTACTGCTCTTGGTTCTCCAATCGATGTCTTCAGAAGTCTTCGTAACAATAGGAGCCCTATTGAAACAAAACTTCTCATAAATCAATCGGCTTCGGATTATTGGACAAAGTTTTTTAAGAGTCGGGGGGGAATTTAAGGACATTTCCATCCTTAATTGCCCCTAGTGAGTAGTGATGACGATTGATCCCAGAACTTCATTATGAGAAACAATTCAATCCTTCTCAATGGATCAAGTATTACGAGTAGGGGTGAGCAAACCGGGTACCCAGTCAAAATTTTAGGAACCGGACCCAAGATTGGTTGGGACTAGGTCCTAAAATTCGGAATTGGAATTGGAATTGGTTCAACCGAGTCCTAAAATTTAGGAATTTGAATTGGAACCACCGGGTACCGGTTCCAGTTTCGGGTACCCACTTATATATGTAAGTGTTAAAATATAATACCTATTTTGGTTATTTTCATTTTTAACGTTTAATACTAATATTTTATGTGCATAAAGTTATTTGTATTTATGTTAGGTGTTAATAATACTTTTTTATTTTATTAATGAGATACATCAAACATATATTTATTATTAAAATTTATTTAGTTTAGCATATATTGTGTAACTGAGTAACCAACCAGTTCCGATTCCAAAATGTTGATAACTGAAATTGAAACCAATTGTAATGAGTCCTTAATTTATTACCTGAAATTGAAACCACTAGATCCAATTTTGATTTCGGACCCGCTGGTTCCGATCCTAATTCCAAGTGCCCGGAATTTTTGGTCACCCCGAATTATGAGTACTTGAATAGTTGAATTTCATCTTAATTTACTCTCTCCATAATCAAATCGCACAATGTTTTAACGAAGAACAATGAAAACTTGAAACAGCAGAGAATGAAATTGAACGGGTAAATGCAGGATCCAATTACCAAAAACTATTCTCATATTCCTCAATTTACAACCCCTCCTCCCTTAAACTCCATTGTTAATCTTCTTCACAACCTCTATTTCTCTCTCCTTCATGGAAGACCAACCTCCAAAACCCATCAAAGAACTCATATGGTTTTCCCTCATTTCCACTTCAATCAAACTCCTCTTACTCCCCTCTTACCACAGCACAGATTTCGAAGTTCATCGCAATTGGCTCGCCATTACCAACTCTCATCCTCTCTCTCAATGGTATTCCGACACCACTAGCCCTTGGACCCTCGATTACCCTCCATTTTTCGCCTATTTCGAGCTCTTTCTCTCTCTTTTCGCTGCAAAAATTGACCCCACCATTGTTAATCTTCATAAAGGTCTCAATTACAAGGCAGATTCCGTCGTTTATTTCCAGAGAATTACAGTGATTGTTTCCGATTTGGTTCTTCACTATGCAATTTATCGAATTACTCGAAAATTGGATTCGACAAAGCGGAGATTGATCTGGGTTTTGGTTATTTGGTCGCCTGCATTGTTCATTGTTGATCATATGCATTTTCAGTATAATGGGTTTTTGTTGGGATTGCTTTTGGTTTCGATTTCAGCGTTAATGGAGGGAAGAGATTTGATGGGGGGTTTCTTTTTTGCGGTTTTATTGTGTTTTAAGCATTTGTTTGCTGTTGCTGCTCCTGTTTATTTTGTGTATTTGTTGCGGCATTATTGTAGAGGTGGATTGATCAAGGGTTTTGGGCGGTTTTTGATGATGGGGTTGGCGGTAGTGGTGGTTTTCGCGGCGGCTTTTGGGCCATTTGTGTACCATGATCAGGTAAAATGTTGCTTCTTTGTGGTAGTAGTATGTTTATGTTTGGTTTATGTTTGATTATTAATTTATTATGTTGTTTGGTTAGTTTGTTGGAGGTATAAATTTGAAAATGTGTGAGTTTAGTTATTATTGCTTTAATCCTTGCTTCTTTCTGAAACACTATTCAATTATGTTGTGAATGCTGAATTGAAATGATTGTTCTTAGTGATTGACCTTGTTGTACTGAATCGAACAGTGTGAAATTTAGAGTTAGAAAATGCTTGAAGGGATGATAAATGGAGGGTTAGGATAAGGATGAAAGAAGTTTGAAACTTTAGAGGTTTGGAGATATGTGATTACTCTTTTCACTGAAAGAGAAGCTGAAATACTGCCAGTGTACTTGGAAGTTCTATGGGGGGTTTAGTATGCATAGGGAAGACCGATTAGTTCCACTCGTTAGTCACTTCAAATAGAGTTCTTTAAGTGTTACAGGTGGTAGAGAAATACTTCGTATATAGGTGAAGGAAATTTCTTATACGTCTACTTGGTTTATTCACTGTCACTATGAGTTGGTGATGTTAGTAAATTCTCTTGGAATGTGGATAATGGAGTATTGAGGAGCTGTAAATTAGATTCTTTGATACATAATGCTTGTGCAATGGTAAAAAGAACTTGTTTTAATAGGAAATACATATGCTGATATGCAACGTAGCACACATAGATAATGGTATCAACTTGTGATAGTCCTCCTTAGTTTATACTTCTTGAGAGGGGAGCTACGTCATGGTAATCAAAGCAAGCTTGTGAAGATTTTCTATGGATGAAGAGGTAGATAGTGGAGTTAGGAATACAGAATACTGTTGTTGATTTGTGAAAGTAAGCTTTAGGTTATATACCCTTTGAGGGGGAATCTACGTTATTGAAAGGTTGTGAAGATTTGCTATGGACAAAGAAGTAGATAGGGGAGTTACTGAGTTAGGAAGACATGCCACTGTGAGAACCAAGTTGGTAATTACTTAGCAAACTAGAAAAGAGCCAAAGAATCATACTTTAACATACCATAGCTGATCTAAGCTTGTAGATGTGGGGTATTGTTTAGATACGCAGTGTTTGCAAAGTGAATAGCTGCATACTGTTGAAATGAAAGTCTGAGGAAGCCAAAGAACTCAGAAAGAAAGAAAATAATGGATGTCATGAGTTTTTAGAGGTGTAAATAATTTTTATCTTCTCAGTATTTTTATACTTTGGTGTTATTATCCAAATTAAAATTTAGAAAATTTGTGAAGAAGTTTATTTACATAAAATTCTATAGACATCCTCTAGTTTTTCTAAAATATTATTCTACTTTGAAATAACTCTTCAAATTTTTAGAGTAATCTTATATTATGTGCAAATAGTTCTTTCAACAATAATTGTCATGACTTGTCTTTAATGGAGAGAATGAAGAGTCGAAGAGGGTAAGTGGTGTCAAACTTTTAGTGTTCTGACTTTCAAGAGGAAGGAGGTAGAGTAATCTTATATTATGTGCAAATAGTTCTTTATGTTTATTGGTTTTATAATATGGACCTATAAATATCCACCATTATACTGATTTTAGGTGAACTTCAGGGGGAAGGGCTCCCCTTCTTGGTCTTTATTTAAGAGCATCCTCATCATATGATTTATCATAATCAATGATATAATATGTACCTTTGCTTCTACGTCACTTCTGAGTAAGGTGCTACCATTGAAATTTTTGATTCCGGTGTCCCCCCAATCTTTTTTGAAAGTTGGAACCCACAAATTTATACACATTTGTCCCAAATAGCCATTTGAGGTTTTGGGATAAAGTACAGTAAAATACTAAAATACATAAAAATTTCCGTAAACATGATGAACTTGTTTCTATGAGTGAATTTTCATATGATAGGAAGTTTTAAGGTCAAGGAAAATCACCCATTCACTGCTATCCTAGGTAAAATGACATTCTTTGTTTGATGGGCTGAAATAAAAAGCTTGACATTATGTCTGAGCAGTGGAAGTGTGTAAGCTTAGAGATTTCTGTCTTCTTAAGTTCTAGCAATTGAGCTTTCGAATGGCATGGTATTATTGTTTGATGTAAGTTTTAACTTGTGTGCATGTGTGTCACATTGGTACTTATCAGATGACGAAAAGTGTTCTTATGCAGCACTCAGGTCTGGGAATTCATTTCATCCAGGCATATGGCACACACCCTGTGTATTTATTTGCAATGAAAGAATATGAGATGTTAATTGAGCCTTCCCCTGATTTTTTTGCTATATTCTGTACACTACATAAAACTCATTTTGACTGCATTTTTCTTCTTACAGGGTTATTTAATTGTTCAGTTATTACTTTGCAGATGCTTCAAGTCATCCATCGAATGTTTCCTTTTGGCAGGGGTCTATGTCATGCATTTTGGGCTCCAAACTTTTGGGTGTTCTACATAATGGCAGATAAACTACTTGCTTTCTTTCTCAGAAGCATGGGTTTTAATGTCCAAAGACCAACAGGTTCTTTCACTTCTGGGCTAGTGGGGGACTCATCACCTTTCGCTGTACTGCCTCAGGTATAATAGTAGAATTTTTTTTCCATTGCATTTTTTTTCAAGTATGTAAATTTACTATGGCTTATTATCTCTAACTTGTCTCTAAGTTCGGCTTTCTAATACTACTTACCTGTAATTTTAGTACACTCATGAATTGAGTGGCTTAGCTGAAAAAGATGCATGCTTTCCATCCTATTTTTTCACTTTATGTTTGGAGGGTGGGAGGAAGAGGGTTGTGGGGAGTCCTAAGAAAAATCCTTAGTGTATGGTTGAAAATTAGCACCTACTTGAAGAAAATACTTATACTGAAGGTATGTGTTAGTAAAACATTGGAGTTCAATAATTTGGAAACATAGTATGAATTAGCATTCAATTTTTAGAACTGAACCCTCTTGTCAGCACCTTTTCTGTTTCCCCGGTCTTCTGCCTATAAGTTATTCGTCATTTTTTTTTCTTTTCACCGTTAAGTAATCCCTGTGATGATTGTGTTACCTGGGCTTTGCTTTTGTATATCTGCACTAGTTGATTAAATACTCCACATGTCTTACTATATGTACAAAGTATTTGTTAAGGATGTGATGCGATAATATCCTTTTCTTCTGTTAATAGATCACTCCTTTGATGACCTTTATGATGGTCTTGCTAGCTATCTCTCCTTGTCTTTTCAAGGCCTGGAAGAATCCTCGACCAAGGAAGATTGCTAGATGGATAGCTTATGCTTATTCATGTGGCTTTGTATTTGGTTGGCATGTCCATGAGAAGGCAATGCTTCACTTTCTTATCCCTCTGGCGATTAATGCAGTGGACAGTATTAATGATGCATGCCATTACCTTTTGATCTCAATAGGTATGACTTTGCTTTCTGATGGCTATATGTATCACTGCTTATTTACAAATGACTGATATATGTTCAATCAATTAATTGGTGTCTACCTTTGTCAAGCTACATAATGCACTAATCTTGTTGATCAGCAAATTAGGCAACATAATGAGAATTGTTGAAAGGGGCTGATTGCATTATTTGCATGCTACATGCTAGTGAGTGTAATGGACTGAACTTCTGACTTAGTATTTCTGATTTAATAAAGCTAATAAAAAATAGAAAGCTTGAGTCTTCGATTGATAATGGCAGAAATTTGGATACAAAAGTGATAGGTTAATAGCTTTAGGCTATTACTCTCCTTGATAACTTTAGGTTATCACTCTCTTAGTAACTTGAGGTTACTTCTCTCAGCATATTTCCTCACAATTCCCATAATGATTGACTGCATACCCTTTCCCCTATTTATACTAAGGCTAAATACTACTAACCTAATAATACTAAACTTCCCAAATCGCCCCTCCTAAGGTTAGTCTATTACAGTGAGGCTAGTTTGTTTCTCCTTGTAGTTCACCTATGTGTTATTCATAGTATGATTTGTGTATTCATCCACTGTGTGCTTACTTTTTTGGTAGTATGGTGACTTAACTTTGCACGCCCCTGCGGCTAGTCTACACATTTTTGTCCTGAGAATCAACCTGCTTTTTACAATATGTTTCCCTCTTGAATCTGTTCCCCTTTAGTTTCTTTAATGGAGCTAGTCAGTGAATGATATTTTGGCTTTTGACCATACCGTGACAAGACATAGCACGAAGTTCTTAGACAATACACTGGGAAAAGTTTTTACTGAAAATTAGTAAAGCTGAAAACTTTTAGCAGCGCACATTTTAATCTGCACTTCAAAGAAGTAATAGCTTCATAAAGAAACCTGAGAGAAAAAAATATGTATGCTGAAGATATAAGCCGAGACAAAAAGTACAATTGAGCCAAGCTATGTATCTTGGTGCTAAGTTTGTAAGTCCATCCAAAACCTTCTCATCTTGGGATGCATCTATAAATATATTGGCTTAATGTAATACAAATCTAAGCCATCTGTTTTGGAGCCAAATTTCCTAGACAAGTTCAAAATCACACAGGAGCAGAAGTGGCAATGGGTGTAACAATTGCAGTTATTGCTTTCCCATTGTTCATTTAAAAGCTTAATCATCATAAGCGAGGTTGCTCACCAAAAAAGTAGCTTTTGGTTGGCTTGCTACAACCTATTAGACCGAGGCTCCTTGGTTGTATAACTAGAACCTTGTTTCTATTGGGAGGTTGCATGCGCGGTGAACTGCTTGTTCTGTACATAGAACCATACCCGCTTAGATTTTCTTGTTTCTTTTTGTGGCCATTTACGTGCTCTAGAACTTCTCTAATCTGAGTCCTACGTGAGAATCGTGACATCAAAGCAAGGGGTATGCATCCTAAACTGGCCAGAAATGAGAATATAAACAGAAAATCCTTTGGCAAAAGTTATACTCCTAAGTGCAGGACTATAGCAAAGACTAAATTGGAGACCAAAATAAACACCCATATTCCCATTCTTTTTTTTTTTTTTTTTTTTTTTTTTTTTTTTTTTTTTTTTTTATGTAACTTACAGCCTTTGGGTGTTTGGGATATGTATTATTGTTTAAATTTGGGATATGTATTATTGTTTAAATTTCAACTGTGCCGAATCATATTGTAACTTATAATCCCATGCACAAATTATGCTTGTGTTAAAATAAATTATGTTGGAAACGCCTTCCTTTCTTTACTAGAGCTTATTGAATGACTAATTAGTTTCGTGCTTCTGCTATGCAGTCTCATGCTACTCTCTCTTCCCACTTCTGTTTGAAGCCAGAGAATACCCGATAAAAGTGACACTGCTGCTTCTGCACTGCATTCTTATGTGGTTTGGTTTCTCCATTTTTTCTGAGGTAACAACTACAAATTCAAAGAAAGATTTGCAGAAGAAGAATGACGAACTGAGAACTGAGGAAAACCTGGGCATTTCTGAGAAAGGTGGGTTTGGCATTGGATGGATCTACAAGAGCTACTTGATAGGTATTGTGGCGGTTGAAATATGGGGTCAATTTCTACATCCTTACATTCTTGGGAACAAGCTTCCGTTTCTACCTTTGATGTTAGTTTCTGTATATAGTGCATTAGGAATCATGTACTCTTGGATTTGGCAGCTGAAATGGATAATTCTCTATTCTTGATGTCTCATTCTTTCTTCTCGTTTCCTAGTCTAGTCATTCTGTTATTCAAGGTCATACGTTGAGCAACTTGAATTTGTTATTCCGGCTCGAATCTTTTCTCATTGTCTCTTCGATACTTGCATGTATTATAAACAGAAGCAGTCCAATTTGGTGCTGGTTAAACATGAACCAAAGGGATTGATTATCACTACATTATGTTGGCTACAAATGATTTTTCCAGATTCCAGAAAGGGTTCTCTTGGCTATAATGTAAGTGTATTTTCAGGATTGTAAGCCCAATATAAGAAATAATATGAAAAGTCAATTTTACCCTAATGTAACAAAAATAAGTTTTTGTTGCAAGAAAGTAAAGTGTGGTGTAAGAGTATATAATAGCAAGGGTATAGTTGGAAAAAAGGATATATAGTTGCAAGGATATAGTTGGAAAAAAAAATTAAGTAAATATTGTAAATCAAAAGCTTATTTTGGCCAAATAAAAAAGGGTAAGAAAAGGATATGAAATTAGTAATGCCATAGCTACCATCTTCCATTACAATAATAAGCCCATAAATACTGTTTAGCATCATTTGCTTTAATTTAGTGGAAATTATAGTTGTACTGTTTCTGGTATTTGTAGGTAGTTTTTTAGCTTGTAATTTTGTAATGTCCAATAAAGTGTATTTGGTTAAGCATTTCCATTATGATCATGGAGCATTTGTTTTCGATATCTAACATTTACTACTATTCAATAGTAAAAACTACTCACTAGTGTCAATGAAATTGAATGAACCAGAATAAATGCTTGCTATTTTAGTACTCCAAGCTTCCGCCATCAGTAGACACGTCCACTATTTTAAAATATTTGAAAATATTTAGTTTTTTATTAAACTATATTTGTACTTATTAATGATCAGATGTTCTTTTCACGTAAAATAAGATGATTTAATCTAAATTTAAGGTATGATTTGATATTGTTTGATTTTTTTTTATTTTTTTTTTCCCAATTTGATCTGTTAGTGTAATTAGACTTTAACAACGAGATATCACTAATCATGTATTTAACTTTTTAGAGATAGATGATATGATCGAAGCATAAATATAATCAAGTGATTGAGAAATGACAAATTCTATCCTACACAGCTATCATCAATCAAGAGTATCTTAATTTGTAAAACCAAGAAATAGACATACGTAATATAAGAGATATCGGAACAATGTAATAACCAATTCTAATTTAATCCGAGATAGTGATTCACACGTCTCAATCAATACATATATACTTGTATGAATACATATATACTTGTACATACAATACCTTTATTGACATTAATATAGATGCATTACCTTATACTATCAAACACATAGTAAAGGTATCACACTTCCTTAGCATGAGGGGTAAGGGATAGCCCCCACGCTTGAGCTACAAGCATTGTATCGTGTAGAATGTCAAACATGCCGATTTTTATCCCTTTTTCTTCCTTATATTTTTACTATCTTCATTCATCCAATTGTCCTTAAAATTAATAATAATAAACGAGCACGCAATGCTAGGAGTATAAACAAAGCAAGGCATTGTCTTTTTTTTTAAAAAAAAATAAATAATAATAATAATAATAATAAAAAAAAAAAAAAAAAATTATTTTGGAACATCCCTTTAATCGTAAGGTATATATAATGTAAACACATTTTTACTCAAACTTTAGGAAAGTATTTGTTGTATATTGGCATCACTTTTGAACCCTCCAAAGTTTGGGCAACTTGATAATTCATTCATTCAATTATCTGCCTGTACTAAAAGTATTCAAAGTCAAATTTAATGTTGCTGCTACCATGTCAGATTGAAGCTAAGGTCTTATTTATTGCTCATACGTTGCAAAACAATTCCATGTAGACACTTTATGTACATTAATGTATACGATGAATACTACGTATGTGTATGTATATACTTCCTCAGTAGGGCCACTTTTTAGAGTGGGTATTCGGTATTCCCTTACCAAGTAACGTAACTTATCCCAATATTATTTTTTAACTCGTGCAATTTCAAACATTTATCTAACAACTAATCAACCATGCATCTAGCTGCGACCCTAGGAAACACCCCCCAAATAGGCACATTTCTATAAGAGTCCCTATAATTAGGGGTGTGCAAAAAAGGACCGAGACCGGACCGTTGGATTCTGGGTCGGTCTTCGGTCCTCACAAATTGGTGATTCCGGCTTCCGGTCTAGGTAAAAATCGAAATATTCCGGTCTGAACCGGAAAATTATTTTTTTTTTTGGGTGAAAATTTTAAATTTTATGTTTAAATTTCTAAAAAATTTAGGTGCAAAATAGAAAAGTACGCAAACAAAAAAAAACGTTAAAAAATGATGTATATATAAAGATATTAAAATGCAAAAAAAAAAAAAAGAAAAGAAAAAAATATAACCCGTCCAAAACCGGACCGGACCGGAATAGGTCTAGACCGGTTGATTACGGTCCGATCTCCGGTCCGCAAAAAAAAAAAAAAGGTGATTCTGGGTTCCGGTCCATTCCAGTCCCGGTTCGGTCCGGCTTTGACCAGTGCACAGCCCTACCTATAATACAAGAAACCCCATAAACAGTTAGCATGCATCTTCTTATAAGAAGTAGGGGAAAAAAAACGTGTAACTTCATGGATAATTGTTTAAGGCCTTTAAGCCACGCCATAATCAATACACGAGAAGAAAATGTGTTGTCATTTCCTCAACCCCTGCCTTGAAACATATAAATTCCTTATTATATAATATAAAGTTTTTATAAGATCATAAAACTATACAACTGTCCAATAATTTCCTAACTTGCTCTCCAAGGTTATTATGATTAGAAGTAATAAATCCCATTTCTTAATCAATTACATCATTTTTCTTGTTATATTTGCATGTTTTATCCACCTAACTAAAAAGATATTATCCACCAACTTTTCTCATAAAATTGACCTACTTTTTAGAATAAATAGGGTTTTTATTTTTTGATTAGTTGAGTTGTTAGTCTTGTTACCCATTTTTTTTGCCAAATAACCTAAAATTTTAATCTTCTTCAATTGTATAAGAGAATTTGAATATGTTTTTGATGACTAAACTTATAAAGTTATAAACCATTTACAATTATAACATTTATATTTATTTTAGGTGAGCTAATTTTTATTTTTACACACCTGAGGTTTATTATATTTTTTTTAATAAATGACCCTTGACATAGAAAATCTTACGTGTCAGATTGTGAGATCTCTTTCTTCAATGCAGTTGTGTCCTTTTCCTTAATTATTTTAAATTATTGAAGTGCTAAATACAACAATTGCAATAACTCATTTTTCAAAAAAAAAAAAAAAAAAAAAAAAAAAAAAAAAAAAAAAAAAAAAGAAAAAGATTAAAAGATTATGTTGTATTTTAAGAAGTTAGCATTAACTGGAACACATGTGCATTCGTGGGTGTTTGTCATCAACCTTGTAAATAAATCATCAACTCATATTCTTTAATATCCAACCATATTCTATAATCTATTAAATTAAATTTTCTCAACATTCTTTCTGATTTCTTTTTCTTGGACCAGGCCAGTTGTTCTAATTAACGTTGTGGTAATATTTGTTGGGAAATTTTTTAGGTGAGGTGTATGTTTAGAACAGTGGCGGAGCCACATTAGAACAAGGGGGGACAGTTGTCCCCCCATTTTCGGAAAAAAAGTTTTTTTTTAAAAAAAAAATCAAGAAAATACAGTAAAAGGCTATAAATAACATATACTTACAGTAGATATCACAATATTGAATATGGTTTGGTGGTTGAGTCCTTAGTAAGGCTGTGTTTTGGTCCTAGGTTCGATTCCCTACTCTACTGTTTTTCAGCTTTTTTGTTTTTTTTTTTTCCCTACTTCTTGTTTTTTTTATTACATACTCTAATTTTCAACAACCTTTTTAATTTGATTTTTTATTTCCTATTTCTTGTTTTAGGATTTTTAATGTTATTTCTTATTTCCTACTTCTTGTTTTTAATTATCGCTTAACTAAGTGTGCTTAAACTCAATTTTTTTTTTACATTTCTAATAAATAGATTACTATTAATTAATTGTTTGTAACTGTGTTTTAACGAAATACATATTAATAATATGATTGATTTGAAAAAGTTGAGTTTATTTTTTCGAATGTAACTCAAACCCTGGCCCTTCATATCTACCATCAATTTGTTTTAACGATAATTATTTGACTTTATGATAAGGTAATTAATTCGTATTTATCAATTATGTGATTACATAACAGGATTTACAAATATAAATTTATTCATTTTTGTTGGATAATTTTCTTAATATACAATAAAACTTTTTTACCCCTCTTTTTCCATATAGAAATAATTGGCATATGTGATTTCAAATAAATATTAAACAATTTAGGTTATCAATTTTTTTCTTGAGATTTTTGCCGAAACTTTAACCTCCAAAATTTGTCCCCCCGAATTATAAATCCTGGCTCCGCCACTGGTTTAGAATATGTAATCGTACAATTCATAAATGGATCGATACTTCGATAGTACATATATAGTGATTTATGATTACTCCGTATTTAGTAGGTTATCTGATATGTCATTGCTATAAAAATAAGAGGAGGTATAACAATGACTCAACTATTATGAAGGTCGTTGAGATAAGTCTTTTGTGTATAACAAGAAATAATAAAAATGTATTTAACCTTAAAGCAAGGTACGGTATATGTTACATGTGTATGATGATGATCATAAATAAGATCAAGAAGGTATCTAAGATTAGATTTTATTTGATTTGATCTTATGTTTGGTTTTCTTTGTTGTAATATAAAGAGGGTCTAGAGCAAATAATCAACAAAATGAACAAGGAAAGAGAAATAATACTCAAAGAAATTTCGGTGTGGCGTGATAATAATCACTTACTTGAAAACGAAATCCGACGCAATCGGGAGTGCACAATTGTAATCGCCGGTACGTTCTCTAAGGTTACGCACACCACTCCCACACAAAGGCACTTTTGGGTGGGAGGTTGGAGACTAGTAAACTTATGCCCAAAGAGAAAAATGTGTTTAGCTTAATGTGTTTGATAATTGTATTCATCTGAAATTTCCCAACCATGAAAATATATAATGGAAGATGGGATAACCAAGAGTTCAAAAAAACAAAGAGACAAAGCTCTTAATCAGAAATAAAAGAGAGTAAACAACCCCTTGAAACATCCCATTGATTATGGGTGTTAAGGGAGAGTTACAAAGAAAGAGGAAGAGAAAGAGACATTGGAACTGACGTGTTTTTGCGCCCGATTGGGCGACCCGGTCGGGCAAAAGTGATACATAATCTCAACTTTGCTCTCGCGCCCTGTCGGGCGAGCTCCGCTCGGTGGCACGCCTGGCAGGGCGATCACCTGCCCGGTAGGGCGAACAAACGACGAAAATCTTTACTTTCGCGCCCGGTCGGGCGCCCGAACATATCAAAAACTCCTTACTAGATGGAAGCCCGTGTGATGCACGGTTTTTTCATCTAAGATTTTTAATTATTTGATTTATTGTATTTAATAATTTCAGACAAAATTACAAAAGTTTAATATTTATTTATTTTTACTATAATTTATAATGAATTTATTAAATATAAATAAATTGTAAATATGATATTTTTTCCGTTATATAAAATCTTTAATGTGAAATGATAAATTTTCAATGCTTACTTTATTTATATATATTAGATTAGATATTAGATTAGATTTGTGTAATTCACTAATTCTCCATAATCGAGAAGATTTGTGCCTAGTGATTTAGAATATAATTAAATTACTCCTCAATTCTAAGATTGTTAATTTGTGATGGTGCGTGCATAAGCTAGTTGAAAGGGACTCAAGAGAGATAATGATACAGTTAAACTAACCAAGTAGCCAAATAGTATAAACTCTAGCACGTACCATCTCCATTACTATTTAGTTGTTTAGCTGAATAAAATAATCAACGCAATAGCAAGAATTTACGCATAACTTTGACACAAATTCAAAAATTAATGATATTAATTAATGTTGTAACAGATTATTAGTATAATAAATTACAGTATTAGTATGGTTAATGGTAGCTACTTTGTTGGACGGACAATATATTCCTTCAGTTTTCATTGTGCATGCCAAGATAATTGTCAAGAAAGCGAAATATATGGTACGGTGTATTTAAAAACATTATATTATATTATGTTTATATTAAATAAATAGTCGTATATATATATACTTGGTATAATATTCTATGTATATGATTATAATAACATTATAATATAAATAACATTAAATAGTATAGTCAACATGGTAATGCATAATGAAAGTGGATAATGATACAGTTAAGCTAACCCTATCTATATTATATCTAATTAAAATGAAAATGGTTTAATTTGGGGGCGTTTGAGTGCGCTGTAAAATACAAGAGGACTAGTAAGGAATGAAGTCTTGAATAAAATAGAGATATTATGCATGCTATAAGACTGATACGTCGCCGCATCATATGGAAAAGCTCCGTGAACATTCAATGATTACAGCTCGATATTACCCCTCTAGTCTTTACATTGTTGTCATGTCGTCTGCCTTCCTTATTTCAATACTTTTCTGTAATTTTCTTTTATAACAAAAATATCTTCTAAAATAATATCTTCGATATGATCGATCTCTAGATTAGCTAGACACCATGCATATTCTTAAGTGACAACGAGATTGTTTATTATAATTATTACCAATTGTTCGTTTATTAAAAGTGCATTCTATTCACTTGATTTTTACTTAATCATCTCAATTTAAAGTGAAATTTAAACTTCATGAGGCTTACTAAAGTTTATTTTATTAGAACTAATTGTTTTAGCTGAACTTATTGGGTAAGTCGTTACATGATTATATATCGGGGAAACTAAAGCTGATTTATTACATACGAGTATGTGATTTACCTAATTATTAACCATTAATTATATTGAATTATATCTTAATAGTAGTTGTATGTCCTCGTTGATAAGAATTAGAAAGATTACATACTCTCGGGTGGTTTTGAGAATTTTTGAAACCCTAAAATGAAATATGATAGTTCTTTAGTAAACTGATTTAAATCATTTGATACGGATTACTAAATACTACAGTATATTAAATTAGCCAATATGTATATACATACATCATACATTACGTCAAAATAAGCTAAATACTTATACCATGTTGTCCACCTAGTAATACCTACATGAAGAATTGAAAGAAGTCCCCAAAAAACTGAAAAAATCGTATAATTAAAAGTCAAAGTTAATGTAACTATATAAGTACTATACATGCATAAAATAATAAATCCTAGAAATATGAACGTTCTAAATCCTAAGACCAAGATTTAATATATTTCTCTATAACTTAAAATGTGGTCCAAATTAAATCCTTCTATTTTGGTACGTTATGTAATGTGAGGAAAACAAAAACCAGAAAAAATTGACTACAAAATTCCTTGAGTTCCACACAGTTTTATCCTCATTCATTTTCTTACAGAATTCATGAGAAGTAACAACAAAAATTCGGCTAACAACTTGAATGATTTTGACCTTTAGCTATTGGCCTTTTTGTTATCCAACAACTTTAAGCCTTTTTAATATAATCTTCTCTAGATTTTAATTTACCATATAATTAATTAGCAGAATTTCTGTAATCAGATCGTTTTATTGTTGATGAAATTAAGATGAAATTTTGTTGATATTAACTTTTTTGACTTTATTGGCTGATTAAATAATTGTTAATTTTTCTAAAGGTGGTAATTAATCTGATTGACAATGATAGTTGATTAATTTATCTGTACACTTTGTGATGATATATAATGGATTAGCTTATTATATATGGTTAAATTATGATGACTATGAGACATGATGATATGGATGTTTTGACTAAGGGGTATGTTGTACTTACTAAATCAAAGAATTAAGAAAGACCAAGAATTTAATTGCCTTTAAATGGAACACAACAATCCCTCTATAATTTTCCAACCAAAAGCTTTATTAATTGACTTTTACGCTTTTTCCTCGAAAAGATAAGATCATACTTAACATCTATACAATTAAATCTGAATCAAGACGTACTCAGCTCGAAAAAATAATAACACATCAAGCATTAACTAACACTCATACAAGCTATGTGCAATTGTGCATACTCTAGCAAAGGCTCAGAACGCTTAAAAAAGTTAATTTTAAATAAATTTCACCTATATAAATAAACCTCGGTAATGTATATATATATATGAAATTAAAAATGTTTAGTAATTAATTATATGACATGTATTATTAATATAACCAATGGAACAAAATTTGCTAATTTGTTCAGTAGTTGTTGCATAGCCTTATCTTGATGATATAATAATAATAATCGATCTAAGCATATTATTGCTGTGTATAGTTGAAATAATACTCCTACTAGCATATATACATATATTTTGTCTCAGAATAATTATCCACCAACTCTATAATGATAATTAGGGCATGCCATGTATATTTGCATGCAACATTACAACTAAGATATACTTATAATTAGAGTAAAATCATTTACTATATACTTTTCATACGACTATACTAGCTAGTAGCAAAGTTGTGGAGCTGGTTATAGGTGCACGTTATTAGGGATTAATTAAGTTTGAATAATTATGTTATGAATTCATCTGGAATGTATGTAATGGTAGCTTTAATTATATATTATAAGCTTCAGGTAACTATGTTAGTTACTCATTTATTGCCAAATTAAATGGACTTAAAGTCTATCTTCCAGCTACATTATGTACATTAGTAAATGTAGTATATCTATGAAGCTCAGGGGTAAGTGAATTATCATTAAATTGATGGTGGGACTGATCTATTTTTTATGCACTCTTACAAATTATACACTAGGCACAAACAGCAATTTTTCCATTATTAATCACACCCCACCCTCTATTACATATTTACATACCCCACCTCGATACATTTATCCAGTGGGTAAATTATTCAAACACATTTCATTCGTTTTAGAATAATTGACTCAGTTAAACTTGACATACATGTCAATGCACAAGTTTGACCTACTTCATAACATAAGAAGAAGAAAAAATAAAAATAAATTATACATTCGAAATACAATACAAATACTCGTACCACTTATAAATATTGCCATATCATTTGAGAATCAAACAGATTAGTAAAGAATAAGATTGTTACTCTCCAAACCCTATTTTCTTAACAAAAAGCTTAGTCCAATATCATTACCCTTAAACTGAGGAGCATTGATAGGCAGATATAACTCACATTGACTTATTTTCTATAAATTTTGATGCGTGAACACAAATTTGCCACACATGCCCTACTTAATTTTTTTTATATATATATAAAAAAAAATAAAAATTATACGTATAGTAGTGTAAGTCTTCCTTCCCACAACAACAACAAAAAGTGGGGGAAAAAAAAAACGGAGTAATAAATAAAAATATTATAGGCATCAAGTATATCATTACTCCTAATACAATCTAGATTTCAATTTATTATTATATTTCAAAATATATTGTAGTTACTGTAAAATTGTCTTTATACACATTGAAATATTCATATCAATTGGTCACAGAAGCTAGAATGAATTGTGTGTTTCTTTGTTTTGCTAATGCAAACATGCTATTGATTTAACAAAATTAATACTCCATATATCACGTTAATATGATATGATATGTATCCTTTTTTTTTTTGACGATTAAGATATCTTTTTTATATCATGATAAGTTATTATTCGCTACTCCGTACATACTTTAATTCACATGAATAGCATACTCAACTCCAAATATTGCCATGTAATCACTTTAAGTATCTTTGATTCTTAAAAATGGCTGTTGCTGTTGAACAAAACTTGCTTTTCTCAAGTTAATTTTATTGAAAAAAAATGTCCAAATCTAACTATAGAAGCTAATCATACTTTCTAAAATTAATAATGATTAAAAAAACATCCCAATTCCCAATTAAATCAATATCATACATCATATACTTGTACATAATATTCCTCCTTTTTTAGCCTTATATTAACATAGAAAACAAAATTAACCTTAACTAAAAATAACATAAAATTACTTTCATACTACTCGTTCATACACTCACCCCATTACATACTACCTCCTCTTTCTTCCTCACTCACTCCACCCCTTCTTACCCAAAATAAAATATTCATTATTAATTAAATAAAAAACAAAAACAAAAATTCCAAATTAAGTCCCTCATTTAAATCCCTCACCTTCCCCCAACCCAGATCAAAACCCCTCCCTCCCACCCTCTCTCTTTCTCTCTCTACTTTCTCTCTCCTCTCTACAACAAAAATGATACGCCGGAAATTACTGTACAACAACACCGGCGGCGGCGGCGGAGGTTCACATTCCGGCGGAAGTGACGTCAGCCCTAGCATCCTCATCACAGTACTAATCCTCGCAATCGCCGTCATTTTATCAGCTTCTCTCTACCTCCTCCTCCGCTTCCTCCGCCGTCACCGTAACTCTACCACAATCACCACGTCAACATCAACAACCGTTAACCTCCCTCATTCTGTCTCCACTCGCCGCGTATCTCCGACAAACCCACTTCTCGATGCACTTCCATTATTCACTTTCGACGCATTGAAATCAACCGGAGATTGCGCCGTATGTTTGTCGAAATTCGAGGAGAAAGACCTCCTCCGTCTCCTCCCAATCTGCTGCCACGTGTTCCACGCTGATTGTATCGACACGTGGCTGAATTCCAACCAATCATGCCCTCTTTGCCGGTCACCAGTCTTCCTACCAGAATCCTCATCCAACGATGATCCACTCTCTCTCTCCTCCTCCTCACATAATTCTCGAAGCTTCCGTGTCGAAATCGGAAACGTCAGTCAACGAAACTCCGCCGAAATCCCCGTCCGAAGAACCTACTCACTCGGCGGTAACTTCGACTACATCGTCAACGACGACGACGTCGTTTCGGAAATTCACTCCGGTTCATTCCGACGAACTTCCTCAACCACGGAGTTCAAGGTTGATGACCACTACCCGTCAGCGGCGTTAGCGGCCGGGGTTGGGACACGTGGCGGGAGTATTATTGGTGGTGGATGGTTGAAGGATTACCTGTCACATTCTCTATCCTCGTCGTTTCGTGGGTCTGGGAGATGGTTTTTTACAGGGAGTAGTAGGAGGGAGACTACGACTGAGTTTGGAGGAGTGGACAACCGAGTTAATGATTTGGACTTGGAAGCGAGTCGACTCGGTGATGAAATCGGTGAGTTGTTTAGATGGTTGTCAGGGGTATAATCGTAATTTCATGTCTGTAGATCCGGGGTAGTTTTGCTACTGTAATTTTTTTTTTTTTTTACAAATTTTTTTGGTGTATAGATATATGGAAAAAACAAAAAAAACCAAAAAATTTCTTCTGGAAATGAAGATTATAAGAGGTAGAAATATTTTCTTCCTATTATTGCAGATTTTTTTCCTTTTGATTTTTTGTGGGGGTTAAATTTGGGTTGGTCTGTTTTTTTGGAGAAGATTTTACTTGCTCAAATAATACTTAACCTTCCATGAATAATAGTTTTTCTGAATTTACCACATTATTTGATTTATTTATGTTAATTTGTTCGTTTTATGGTTTTTATTTTTGGGTAGGAATTATGAAATACTTGTTCTTGTTCTGTCTGTGTATTAAATGTTGCATTTCAGAATTATTGATCATGTTTTGCAACTTATGATCAATGCCTCAATGGGGTTAGGTTTAATTACTAGTACTTAATTTGACCTTCGGCATTACTTATCTCAACTCTTCAAAGAACCATTTGTGATAGTAGGAGCTATTTCATCATTTCTTCAATATTTCATTTAAGTAGTGGTTTTGAAGAACATGGTCATATAAGTATATAACCAATTATAGAATACTATGTTTTGGAAAAGGCGCTAACATTTTCCAAGCATGAACGTATTGTAAAGTCTATAATATACTACCTTCGTTTCATATTATAGCACTTTGAAATTAGTTCATACCCGAAAAACATTATATTGAGACTGTACTACTAGAAGCAAAATATATATCTTAATTATTGTTAGCATTACTTTGATATATTATTGTATTATGTTAATGTAAATTGAGCTATTGTGTTCAATGAGGACCATAAAATACATGTCCATGCTTTCTCACAGAATAATGGAAAATTAGATCATATGATGAACCACGTCATTTACAATAAAGCACATTAATCTCCTGAAAAAATAACCCCTTTTTTCACTTTATTCCACTTTTCCCTATTTCAACCCCCAAAAATACCCAGATAAAAAAGCAAGAAAATAAACTCCACAATGATAAAATAAACATAGTACGGATTACAATATCAAGTGAAAAAAGAGAAGACTTGAGCAGCACTCAAACAAAAAAGAAACTAACATTCTATTCTTCAGAAGTTGAGTTTCTTTCTGAGATTTTATCTTTTAGAAAGAGATAGTATAGGGATTAGTGAATTTTTGTACATTAGATTAATTTTATAATTATATTTAATAATTAATTAATTTTTAAAGTGAGCAAAAAAAGTTAGTTGAAAAAACAAGTGTAATGGAAGATACAGAAGCTGGCTGTAGTTGTGCTAACTTTGTAAGTGGATTAATGTTTATGTTAGTGTTGGGTACTTTAAAGTTTGTTTGTTTGTTAGTTAATTAAGTATTTTTGTTTGGGAAGCGTTACAATGTAGGTGGTGGATGTTTTTTTTGTTTTTGTATCACTAAGATACGGATTTTAATCTATCCTCTTTGTCTGCTTTGTGTTTTGTTTGTTTGTTTTTCCCTTTGCCAATCGCCAATTTTTATTTTTTATTTGTTTATTTATTTATTTTTTGACACGAGATAGGGATAAATTTACTCAAGAGTATCACATGAGTAAATGGTACGGAGTATATTATCGGATCAAGTTATATGTAGATGAAGAGCCCTTCAATTCGGATTGGATTAAATTAGGAGTCGATTTACATTCTACTCCGTATTTATCAGTTATTCCGCATTAAATTTAAGATCATGAAGTTTATTTGGTTAGGATCAACCTTGGAATAAGTTAAATCAGGTCATACTAAATTACTAATTCATTGTCTACAATAAAATCAAAACATTTTTATAATAGGCAAAAACTGATTATTACTAAAATTGGACTTGATGTTTAAAAATTAAAACTGAGATTTTCCAATTTACCTTTTTTTTTGTCAAATTTGGCTACTGAATTTTTTTATTTTTATTTTTTACTGGTGATTACCTATTACAGAGTGAATTTCACCAATTTTCCATAATTTTGTCTTATTCCCCTCCTACATTATTGGAGCAAGATGATTTTGCTGTTGATAGAGTAATGTGATGTCGTATATGCTGAAGTTGAAAGGAGTGTTATAGTCCATAAGTGAGGCCCATTATGGTGGGCCGAGTCTCTACTCTCTATCAATCCACTCAAATTTTGCAGGGATCCCTTACCCTCCCCCCTCACTCTCAAAGTGTCTGACCCGCAAATAGCGAACCAAAAAAACCGTGAGGGTTGAGATACGGTCAGTCAGTCAGGGTCATGATCCAACTCCTATATTAGAACACCCCTTATTGCCTAACCCAATTCTAAACACCCAAAGCAAGTGATGGTTCATATCCAAAGAGATTTTGAGGTGATCATTAGAGTGGGCTAAAGATCCCCAATCTTACATGGCCGGCCCAAGGCCCGTAGTAGGCATTCCTATGACTCCCTTCCTTGTAACTGGGCAAAGACTTACCTCAATTTACGTAGTATTTATTTATTTTAGAAAATTATTAGCTTGACTTGGTATAAAATTACTCAGTAATGAACAGTGGAGGAGCTACAATTATGGATCAATTATCTTGAATGTGAATGGATGTGCGTTTTAAAGGGATAATCTAACTAATCAATCACTCCTATAAATCTCGACATACAATGAATGTGTTTCGATAATCCAGTTTACGGAGGCCAAAGAGCATAGATGCAACCATATGTGCTCTTGGTGCCATTCCTTTTGAGATCTTGTACCACAAAAGGAATCACAAAAGGAATGTCACCAATAGCACAGATGATTGCATATTATTGGCGGAAGAACACAGAAGGAACCATACATGATTTATGGGGGCCATATTAACGAACACAACAGCAACCATTTGTGCCCTTGGAGACATTCCTTTCGCGATCCTGTACCACAATAGGGATGCCACCAATAGCACATATGATTGCATATTGTTGGCGGAAGGGCCATACACGGGGTGACCTGCCTTCTACATATGAAAGGTGCATCAAGTATATTACGTACGAATGATTGGATTGCATGTTATTGATTATGTTAATCTAGATAAAGGAGCCTATTGATCTTCAAGGTCTTGTTTAGTAAACAATCATTACCATCCTCTTCAATCAAAGGGTAAGAACTCACAAAGCATATGCATTTTGCTCTAGATCCATTATGGATCTTTCTTAACAATTTCCTAATGTTTGCTATTTTACTGTATTTACCATGCCATTCTATACATATTTAGACTACATGATCAAAGAACAAAGACGAGGAGCTTCATCAATGGTGATCTGGCCTTACAATATACCAAAAAATACTGAGAACACAAAACCAGATTCAATTATACTTATAATAACTGGAAAGTTGCTTCTAACTCCAAGAAACTCTTCATTTAATAGAAAGGTCAAAACTCTTCATAGACAAAACAAAATATCCACATTTTTACAGATCAACAAGAAGAAAATTGAGGTGAAAATACCAGACAAACTGCGGAAAAATATGCCACCTTGTATACTAGATCCTTCATTGCAAGTTGTATTGGTTCCGCTAAAGCACCCTTGCTTCTGTTTGATACCCTGTCCATGGTCTTCGAGAATGAAACTTGAATTAGTCTGGTCACTACTAAACAGCACACACCAGAAGAAATGGCCCTTATGGGTTGAAGCCACACCGACTCCCACCTCAGTGTGTGTTTTGTTTATAAGGAGAGACAGAGACTTTTTGTCATGAACAAGAACCTGTGAGAAGGCGTCTGATGGCACAAGGTGCTTAGACCAGCACCCCACAAGTTTACCGGATATGGTACCAAAAGTAGGTAGCTCCACTCCACAATCAGGAGCATAGACTTCTGTAAAATCGTCTTCCAAGGGTCGACAGCTCACAGTATTGTTGCTTGTACAGTTCCCCTTGCACTCCTCTGCGTATTGCAAGGCCATGCACCCCAGCCCAGCACTGTCATACAACGGAGGCAGTTTTATGGCAGTCCGGTTCTTGTTGATGATGTCAACAATTTCTTTGGCTGAATTACCTGTGGGTAACATTTGCAGATATAAAGAATTAAACAACTCTTTTCCTTAAGACTAATCAGTTATTCTATGAAGTTCTCATATTATTGTATTGACTAGAAATGCAACATTTAGTTCATGTGCCGCTATTCACTACCCAGTATAAGATGCATCATCCTCGTAATGGAGGGTAGAAGCCTGAAGGCCAGGAACAATTACTGATGGAGGACAACATATGAGCTCATCACCGTGTAATGCATGTGGAAAACACTATTCCAAATAGCCGAAAAAATTTGAGTGATCAATGATTGTGCATCTTAACAACCACCCCCCCCCCAAAGCCCCCCAAAATTAAAAAAGAAAACCCTTCCTTGCATAACAGGAGGCCATAAAACATCTAGTGTCGCTTGATTGGCATTTTAATGTCATAGCAAGGTGAAGTAAAAGTGTGGATATCAGACATCACATTTTACCGAAGGCAAAATATTTCAAAAATGAACATATCAAGTTCTGATGACGCGATTGCAATAGGCTCTTGCAATACAATAGCAGCTTAAAAGGGCAATTCGCCCACGTGGATAGTGTGTACAAGTGATGGTGCCTTGTAGTTGAGATAAATTTACATTAGTCTAAACAAAAGGCAGCCAGAAGATTTAATTTTAGCACATTTCTTATCATAGTTGACTCTATTCTTCTCCATACTATTTCTTATCCAAGGTGACTTTTTTAATCTCTCTGCTTTGTTCCTAGTTCCTATGCAGAACATACATCACAACATAAATCAATACCACATTTACCACTTAACTGTTGGTGCTTAAGCGAAGCCTCAACTCTCAAGTTGACACTTAAGTTACTGTGATAAAGCTGATGCATCAAATACGGAACAAAATTGGATTTTCAAAATGGATTCACAAATAATGCTCTTAACAGGGCTACTTTGGTTACATATTCTATTGGAGGGATCAGCTCCACAAGAGCTCACATCAGATATTCGAAATTTTGGGGATCCCGCAGGACTGCAACAAACTAACAGTTGCGGGGTGAAGGAATATTAACCGCTCTAGCTCCATGAGCTTCCTTAACAAATAACAAGATCTATGTCAAAACAAAGTTAAAGCTCATTTTCCCACTGTAGACAAGTAAGACAGCCAACTACTAGTTACTAGCAAGACCGCAGTTTGGGTTAGAATGACCTCACTTGCTCGTAGCCCAATCATAGTAGAGCATGGATAGTCAGATACTGACCTTAATAGGATATCCTCAACATTAAGCCAGCAAAAATGTAATGTACTAACTGAGACTCACACAGATGAGAAATCCTAATCATTCTTCTTCTCCACTTATATCAGAATATAGTAGGAGTCAGTTGTAACCCAACATTTCTTACCATATGTAGAACATGGTCAAATCACCATTATTAGCAAACAGTCAAAATTTAGGCAACAACATACTAGATTACTAGAAGCTTGTATATATGAATATATGATTATGATTATGCATATACTATGGTAGTTATAATATAAAGCACGGAACCTCCAACATAGCTTAGCACTATATCTAAACAATGAATTCATCAAACAACATAGCTCAAGATCATATTTTGATCTAATCGCACTAAAATAAATACAGCATTAAACAGCAATTTAGAAGAAAAATTCCCATGAACTGTAATTATCCAAAAAAGACTAAATTTGAGAGATTTCAGAATTAAAAATGAGAATTTTTACCATGAGCTTTCTTGGAGCAAACTTCAGCAACAAGCAGTAATCCACAGAACAAAATTAAATGGAAGGGGAAAAACCCTTTTGCCATAGTTAATAGTGCTAATTTGCTGAACTAAATTTTCTGCAAAAAAGGAAGTTAATTCAAATGAAAACCCTAATTAGTTATTTCCCCCCCATTTCACAAGAACCCTAAAATTGAAAAAGGGTACAAACATTGGCAGCTGAAATTGGAAGAATTAGCGGAAATTTTTGTTTGAACTCTGAACTGTGCAAGTGGAGGACATCATATTGGGTGATTGAGGAGAGAAAAAGAGGGAGTGATGTGGACCCCATGTAGCCTATTGTCATGTTTCTTCATTGCTTTTTTTATATTTTGGTGTTTTTTTGCCAGTGCCAATTGCAAGAGAAGAGGCATAGACAAATAATGGAGCGAAATTCAAGAAAATTTGCCTGGCTGTACCCTAATCAAAGTTCCTCTCCTAAAGTAGGAATATTATGAGTGTTAATTAACTTTTGGTGGGTTTATTTAAAGATGGACTTGGGCTGTGATTTTTGAACGAGCAGCCGAGAAAAGGCCCGAGCTCACGTGCATATCGTATTGTGTTTTATTGGTTCGTGCGAGGTGTCAATTCAAGTATTCAGGTCGAATTTAATAAAGTCGGGTTAGATTGGATCTATTTTTAAATTTGAGAAATGCTAAATTATTGTGTCCAAACAAGTCGATATTTGAATTTAATTTTTTTGAAGTCAAGTTAGTTTTTTACACCTCTCGTGCCTTATCGTACTTATCCAACAAAAACATATTTGAGAGTGTCTGTCTCATTCCCATGTCATACCAGGTTTTTCGTGTCGAACTTGTTTGATGTTCATTTCATGTCATGCTATTTTCATGTTACGTTGTGTCATATATCGAATAAGTTTAGCTTAAAATTATAATTGCAATGTAACTTGTAACATTGCAATTATAACGTTAAGCTAAACTTATTCGATATATGACACGATGTAACTTGTTACAATGTGGTCTACTTACGATGCTCAAGTGGTCTACTTACAAGTTACAATGTGTAGATTAAGTTCCATTTTTGAATAAACCTATTCGATAAAGTTATATCGAATAAGTTTATTTAAAGATGAAACTTAATCTACACATTGTAACTTGTAAGTAGACCACTTGAGCATTAAAAATTTGAGTTTATAATTGCAATATCAAAATCAAGTTTTAGAGAGGAAAATCAATGGCACTTTGCTATATTGAATCTCGCCATAGCTTAGTGGTGTATATCATAAAGTAGCACTTGTATTGCAATGAATCCATATGCATACGTGTAACATGTTTCACCTACTTAAATGAACAATACAATGTCTACCTAGTTTTATATAGAAGAAAGATCATGTGCCTAATCTTAATCTAGTATTAAAATCGAGAGTTTGTAACTTGATGGTCATGGCCTCAATCTACATTAGGTTTTTATGGAGGATGCGATACCAAGATGCCTACATGTTAACCTTTGTCTTCATGCCGGGTGCAGGGAGATCAATACATTTAAATGTACATAACATGAAATAAAGACTATAACATCCTCCAATCTTTTTTAATGCAAGCATACTTGTGTAATTCAATATCTACTGGACTTCGACTAATCTGATTTTAAATAAGGTCACGCCTCAATTAGAGGGAGAGGGGTGGGGGAGGAGGGAACTCTACCAACAAGTGTTGTTGTGTTCCCAAATTTTGAAGCCAAGACCTTGGTTAAACTGAAACAACTCCTTTACTAATTGATCTAAACATTTCTTGGTTTAAAAACTCCCTTATTGTAATGGAGCATTTACTCAATTCATTATTAGAACAATGAGATGGGCTTATTGTGCAAATGTATACGAAGTATGAGCTTGTTACCAAACCAAAAGCCATCAAACACTCTCTAGAAACCCAAATTATGGAAGTCATAATCACAACATTCACAAAAGACACAATCCTCGAACTTTCCAGAAACAATACTCTTGCTCTTCCCAAAAATCAACGGCCAATTATTGATCATCAAATCAATCAAACATCACTTCCATAAACACATCAACGGCTCAAAATCAAACTTCCCATCTTACTTTAACTAAAGCATAATCAAACACAACACGCCGTTAACTCTATCTCACTTCACTTAGTTTAAACTCACTCACACACTTTCTTGTTTCTCTATCTTTCTCAGCTTATCCATGGCTTCCACCGCTGCATTCGTCACTTTGGCAAAGCCCTTATCTTTACCCACCAACAATTTTTCTCGCAACTCTAACCAAACATTACTGGGTACCTTTTTTTTTTTTAATTTCGTTTTGCAGATTAAATCTCTAATTTATTCATATTTTGAGGCAATTTTTACCTGTATTTCTGATTTTTTTTTTTCAGGGTTAAGAAGAAATTCCCTTAAAATTAATGCAGTTGCTACAAAATGGGAACCTACTAAGGTATTTTTTCAATTTTTTTTCTTGGATTGATTAAATATAGGAATTTCGTGGCATTTATCCTTAATTTTTAGTGTAATTTATTCAATTTTGATTTTTTTTGGTAGGTTGTTCCACAGGCTGATCGAGTTTTGATTCGACTTGAGGAGCTTCCTGAGGTATAATGTTTATCTTATCTATTTTGTAGTGTTATATTGTTCTGTTTAATCTTAAACTTTGAAATTTTGATCCTTTGGTTATGTGATGATTTTTCTGATTGGATAAGATAATTGATTGAAAAGGAATATGATGATATAACTCTCAGTCTGAATAATTGCATGGGTTATGTTAATTCAAATAATTGAAATTTTGTGATATAATGTTTCCTTGTATCAAAATTTGACCAATCTGCTAGCTAAAGTTTTCCACTTTTAGGTTAAATTAGGATAATACTGTTTTAATTTTACCTATCAAGAGTTTGTATTAGCTGTAAGGGAGCTGTTGGGAATGTAGCTGTATATTTGTTAAGAAAGTTTTATGAATTTTATCTCAATTGGTATGACTCAAATCCAGATTAGTTGGAGTCTATGTATTACCGGGATGAGGCGATGAGCTGAGCCCTTTGCTAGCTATTTCTGTTACCGCGTAGTATACTTGAGCAATGTAGAATTGTAGATGACTTAAGTTTATCATATGTGCACCAAGACTGTTTTCCAGAATAGAACCTGTAATGAGTGATATGCTCCTAATTCCTAAGTGGCACTTTCTATCTCTTTTGAGGGTAAATAAATGTTTAATCATGGTCTAGTTATGCTGGTATTAGGTTGAACAGTTGCAATAATCTTGTATCAATTAATAAGCCCAAGTTCCTCAAAAGATGACACTGTGATACTTTATTTTGAATAATGTAAGTCAGAAGAACAGTCGTTATTGAAAAGTTGTTTATGTCCTCATTTTGAGACTATCCATTATGTTTCTCGATTTAGTTATCGGTGATCTGTGATTTGCGAGGCAGGGTGAGTTTATATTTCTGCAAGCCTATCCTCGAAATAATAGGACCTCGTCTGTTGTGCCTTCTGTAGATCCTAGCTAAAGCATTCTTATTGCCATCACTGCTGTGCTTTTATTGCTCAGGAGATTACACTACGTAGCAAAGTAGCATAGTCATATGTATTACTTCTAGAACTGTATGAGTAAAGAATCTGAATCTGTAGGCCTTTTGACTTGGTTGATATTGCAACGCATTCTTGAGAGCCTTTTCAGTCTATAGCTTGGTGTTTTCTGCAATTTTTGAAAGAACAGAAGCTAGACCAAAAACTTTCACACCCTAGTTATGGAGATACTTAATGAGCGAGTCTTTAGAGTCTTTAAAGTTGGATCAGCTGTTATTCTAGATTATATAATACTAAAAGTTGGATCAGCTATTATTCTTGATTACATAATACTAAAAGTGTGATCAACTGTTATTCTTTGGAATTCGCAATTTTGCATACTGGTGCCTTCTTGTCCTTGTGGTTCCATGGTCTATGATAAAAAGGCATCCTTCATGTGGACTTTTAGAAGATCTGATTTCATCCATAGTATCTGATGTTTTTGAGCTATCTTGGCTTACCTATTTGTTTTTGGAATGTTCTCATTAGAAATCAGCCGGTGGAGTTCTTTTGCCCAAGTCAGCAGTGAAGTTTGAGAGGTACCTTATGGGAGAGGTATGGAAGTTCTAACTTTTTCGATTTCATTTCTTAACTTATGCAGAGTACAAATTATAATATGCTGATCAAAATTATGTTTCCTGCTTACAGATTCTCTCTGTTGGCTCTGATGTTGGGGAAGTAGAGGCTGGGAAGAAGGTATGATTAAGAAATAGTCTATTTGCCTATCTAATTAGGCAACTAACAAAATGTCTTATAATATCCTTGATGAGTAAACTACATTTACTCTCAAGTAAGGTTACTATCCACATTTCACCCTGTGTTAGTTGCCTAATAGTTTGGCTAATTACCTAGACGGTGCACAACGTCACTGAGATTTCTCGAATTCTTTTCTAGCAAAGAATACTTTATTTCATGGTTGTTTTCTCGATTGTTTACTTTCTAATTTGTTGTCTCGTGCAGGTTCTTTTCTCAGATATAAGTGCCTATGAGGTGGATCTAGGAACAGATACCAGGCATTGTTTTTGCAAAGAAGCAGACCTCTTGGCTGTAGTTGAGTAGATGGTTCAGACGGCAGTATATGTATAACTGGCTTCTGTTGATTTTGGCCTTAGGTTTTAGATCCTTTCGTTCATCAGTGGTGCAATTTCAGATGTATTCATTTTCAATGTAAGAGAATTATGATGCTCTTTTAATCAAGGTCTCCCTTTTTTATATTGTGCTTTGACACTGTACACAATGTTTAAATTCAATTATTTGGCTGATGGGTAGCGATTTACAATGCAAAATCAGATAAAAAGGGATCAAGAGATGGACAAATATAAAAACATTTGAACTTACCAATTTCTTGACATGGTCTTGACTCCGTGTAATTTTAAGATGTATCTTGACTCCTGAGATATTACCAAAATAAAAATAATTCCTACGTACATATTTATCCTTGACGTTAGGGATTTCACGCTTGTCAATGTATATTTTAGATATTATAGTAATATCTTTAATACTCGTATTAATAATTTGCAAGTACATATCAAGAAGATTTAACAAGGTCTCACTTGACTATGTTTACTCTCTAATATTGCGATTCTATAAGAACGGAGAAAGTAATTCATAAATAAATACAATGTAAGATACAAATTTGTATATAAGATCTACTTCCATGGAAGGATGAAGTTTTGATGCCCTTGAAGCTTACTTTCTGATCTATATTTGCATTTCCTTTTCTTCTTCATGCACCTGTTAATTATCGACTTACTCTGTTTCTATAAACCTCCGATACATCGGATACTAGCCGATCATCAATAATAAGTAACCGCTTTGTTTCTATAACCTCCTGTAATTTGAATGCATAAGCCATAAATTTGTGTCTGCTTCAAAAATTTACTCTTAGTAAAGTGTGAGACCAAAAATAGGGGCTCTAATAAAACTAGTTTAGAGTAACAACGCTCTGGCATCAATGCCATAAACTAACAAAATACTTGATCAACCAAGATTTTGTACATGGCTAACCTAACAGCATCTAAAATGCTTTTGGACAAATTTCCGAAATTTCTATCCTCTCAGATAATTGAAGGTAAGGTAATACAAGATCCTTGGAAATGGAATTAAAATTCGTACACTCTCAGCTCAATCATTCCCTCTTTCCTCTTCGGTGAGTACCATGCCACAACTTTACCCGAACGTAAGAGCCGCAATGAATAGCTCAAGCTGTAAATGAAATCCTCAATTTGCAAGCCATTTTTCCATGGTGAGTCGACTACACACTTTGTATCAGCGCGGAAGACAATTGGTCCTGCAACCTGCACCAAGATGAGGGATGTAAAAAGGTTCCCCATGAGAGAGTTAACAATGATTTAGTGCTAAACTGGTTAGTATTTTCTTCATGGCTATTGGCTTACTTCCCACTTCCTAGTACATAAAAACAAAACCACATGGCTGGGCATATCTCAATATCCGTTCCGTACATCTAAATGTAGCCACATAACTGCCCAATTCTTAAAATTAAGAACGTTCTACATTAAAATATAAATAACCAGATATTTAATTGATCATCTTTTATCATCCTAATGATGTCCTAAGTTCATTTCCTTTAACAGATCTACTTAGAAGAGTGGGTTCGTCAAGAATATAGTAAGGAGCCTGATACCTATATTTTCAATTATAGCAGGAAACAGAGCATATCCTACAGGTTTTAACTTTAAATTCCAATTGAAGAAACTGTGTTCACTGAAATTTACCTGCTGCTGGAAGATCAGACTGAGTCTAGGAAGGGATGCCGAGTTATCCTGGTGAGCAATTGAGCTATGGCTAAATACACGTGAGATGTTTTTAGCAAAAGCAGAAGCTGAACTGATATCCAAACGAGCATCTACCCTAGTCATATCCCCATATGGCTTTCTGAATTTTCCGTGCTGGAAAGTGTAGCACAATGAGCCAAACAAATCAGCAAAGACAGGACTCCTTTTCTTGGAACTTGAAGGGATGCTATCACCATCTCCTGATGCAGGATTTGATATCTTGTCTTCGCCATGAAGCCAAGCGCCAAAGGTGCCACCTGATAGGTAACAAGTGAATGATACATATTCACACAACATCTAAGGGAAAAATGAAAGAGAAGTTTGGCTTGATTTTTGTGATCTGAATCAGAGCAGTGCAAGTTATCATGTCCAACAAATCCAGTAATTGCATTATAGGACATACCCACATCAAATTTGCTTCCAGTTAAGTTGCCAAATCCAAGACAATGAAAACCATTATTACAACAGATGAAAGGTCTTTTACCTATAATAGTTGAAATTGATGAATGAGGTTCTTTGAGGCGCACATCATATGCAGGCCTCCAGAATTTCCCCCTCTCGGTTTTTATGATAAGATCATTATCTGTCTCCTCTTGCCTCCATAGATCCTTGCTCTTTTGAACTGAAAAGGCAGCTTTTGCACATACACCAGGCAGCAAAGCAGCAGGTGCATCACTATCTATTGAGTTAACAACAGCTTGAGGTTTGCCACCATTCTTGTGTACCCCAAAACGATACCGTAATCCTGAGTCAGATATGATAGACGAACAATCCAGAGAGATTGACTCAGGAACATTCCAATATCTTCCTTTACTGTCAATAAACAGCTCTGGCCATGCTGCGTTCAATGTAATGTCGTGATAGGGAAGCTGCACACAGTCAATAAATTTAAAGTCAGCTACAAGGCCTACAGCTCCAGGTGTCATCTGGACACAATTACAGGAGCAGATTGCTAAATTATAAGCAAACAGAGAGTCAAAATTACAAATGTTGGTTTTATATCAAATAAGTCTAGCTAATGAATCACTTTGACAGGAAAAAAAGGGTAAACTGAAAACAGATTAACATGGGGCGCTGTGGTTTTCTGACTCGAGAAATACAAATCTGATTTGCAATGTAATGTGGTTTATGCATTTAAATCAGGGTCCTCCAAATTATCTTCGAAAAATGTAATACTGTCAAAGGAGCAAAAAGTAGCCAGAAGGAAACACACCCATGAGTGTACCATAATCACTGTTGATGAACCCAGCGGTCAATGTAGATAAAAGCTCAAGGCTTACTAAGTGTTAGAATCTAACTCCTTTTGATGTATTAGATTCCATTTAAGTGTTTTCCTAGAGTTTAGGTTATGTTTTCTTAGCTTGAGGTCCCATTATTGTGTTACTGTCAGATCAGTGTTCACTAGGGATTCTCCTTGTATGTCATTTAAAGCTCTTTAGAGGGCGAATGATTAATGAAATCTTAAAGCCTTCTACCAAGTGTTGCCTTGCTTTTATGCTTGTTTGTTGTTAGACCTTTATAGATATTGTGTCTCAGTTGCATATTAGCTCTGATACCAACTGTCACGGTCCGGGAGTTTGGACCCCGAAACGTGCGGCGCGCTCTAGCCTTTTGGCGGCAAGAACGCTAGCCTTGAGCGGAAGAGGGGCTTGTGAGCACAAAGCAACACAAGCGGGCAATAGAATCTCAGGAGCACTCACGTCTATCTGGGCGACGGAGTGCGGGTGGTCGGGGCTTGTGACGGCCGATACTTCAAAGCGGGCACAAGTGGGTCCGAACCACGAGTCCTTAGCGCATCAACCCGTGTAGGCACCAAGGAGGGCTACACGAAGATGGAATTCGTAGAAGAAAGGCTCGCTTGGCTCGAGGAGAAGGCGGACAAATGGGCCGAGCTCCAAGTCATTGTACACGAGCAAGCCGAGCAAATTGTGAAATTGATGGCTGACAGAGATGCCCTCCGCGAACAATTGCAATTTGTTCAAGGAAAAGCCGACGAAGCACTTGAGAAATGTGCTACCTTAACGCGCGCTGTGGGCAGAGACGCACTGGGTGTTGGTGCGGCGAAGATAAAGCCGCCCAAACCTCGCGACTACAGTGGCGCTAGAGATGCAAAAGAAGTTGATAACTTTATCTTCGACATGGAGCAGTACTTCCGAATATGTCAACTAAGTGACGATCAGAAGGTGGATACTGCCATCATGTACTTGTCCGAAGATGCTAAGCTGTGGTGGCGCACCAAGCACGCAGACATCGAAGCAGGAAGGATCAAGATTGATACATGGGCGGAGTTCAAAGAGGAACTCAAAGAACAATTCTACCCCGTCAACACAGCGTTTGTTGCACGGATGAAGTTGCAAGAGTGCCGCCAGAAGGGTTCTCTTCGCAACTATGTTAAGGAATACTCGGCGATAATGTTGGACATCACAGACATGAATGAGAAAGATCGTGTGTTCAACTTTGTCAACAGGCGGCTAAAGGAATGGGCGCAACGAGAGATTTTGAGGCAGAATATTGATACCCTCGCTGTTGCTATGTGTGCTGCTGAGATATTGATGGACTACTCAGTCGGGAAGGGTCGTCAATTCGAGAAGGATTCAAGTGGGACGTCAACACGCTCTAACAGTTCGTCTCCAAGCTCTCCAAAGGGTACAGAGAACGGCTCACGAGTATCGTCCAACACCATTAATACATATCATAGAAGAAGTGGAGGAGGTGATGCCCAGAGACAAACATCTACCCCCTCCCACAACTCAGGAAACTCGAGGGCCGACGCATCCTCGGCAAACACAAGGGCAATAAACTGCATACTTTGTCGAGGTCCACACAAATGGTGGGATTGCGAGCATAAAGAAGAACTTGACAAGATCCAAAAAAGATTGTCATCCATGTCCGTTCAGGAGGCCACAAAAGAGACTAGCAGCGATGAGGAGCCTACATATAGGATGGGTTCCATACGACGCCTGAGTGCTATGAGAATGATATCACCTCAAGAAGAACCAGAAGTCCGATATCTTTCGGCAATGCGAGTGATGGAGCCTGAGAAGAAGGCAACATCGAGGAAACAAGCTCGCACCAGAAACCCAGAGAAGCGGGAGATGAAACCCATGGAGTTGGCAACATCCCAGATACACACCCGCCAAAACCAGAATTAGTCACAAGGTTCGAAGCAAAGAGCGACGAGCCCAGAGACACCAAAGAGACACCAAAGAAGAACCTCCCAAGAGGAAGGAAAAACAGTGGTTGAGCAAACAACGTAGGGCGCATGCAAGGGATTACAAAGAAAATGGTCACCCAAGAGGCACCAGCCACAACTTGAAGCTCTCCACCACAGTCTCAAGGAAGCAGCTCCCCAACAGATGATGGTGGAAGCAGCTGTCCCCCTTAATTCAACAGATTCCACTCCCAGGAGGAAATTTAGAGATAAAGCTCTCAACAAGATGTTCGAGCCGAGCGACTCCAGAGACAAGCTCCTCGTCAACAAAGAAGATCCAGCTCAAGAGTCAGATAAGATTCCAAAAGATAGTCGCACCAACGGCGCATCCGAAAATTGAGATAGTTTAGGGTTTTCTAATTTTGATTGTAACTTTTGTAAGTCGACAAGGTCGTCGACAGCTTAAGTGGAGGAGGATGTTAGAATCGAACTCCTTTTGATGTATTAGATTCGATTTAAGTGCTTTCCTAGAGTTTAGGTTATGTTTTCTTAACTTGAGATCCCATTATTGTGTTACTGTCAGATCAGTGTTCACTAGGGATTCTCCTTGTATGTCATTTAAAGCTCTTTAGAGGGCGAATGATTAATGAAATCTTAAAGCCTTCTACCAAGTGTTGCCTTGCTTTTATGCTTGTTTGTTGTTAGACCTTTATAGATATTGTGTCTCAGTTGCATATTAGCTCCCCTCCAACCCAACTTGATGCGCTAAGGACTCGTGGTTCGGACCCGCTTGTGCCCGCTTTGAAGTATCGGCCGTCACAAGCCCCGACCACCCGCACTCCGTCGCCCAGATAGACGTGAGTGCTCCTGAGATTCTATTGCCCGCTTGTGTTGCTTTGTGCTCACAAGCCCCTCTTCCGCTCAAGGCTAGCGTTCTTGCCGCCAAAAGGCTAGAGCGCGCCGCACGTTTCGGGGTCCAAACTCCCGGACCGTGACACTAAGGCAATAAGGGTCCTGCTGTGCGTAGGCATGCCTTGGTGGGTCTCATTGAATTGAGGCACACTTAATAAATATTAGAAAATTTTGGTAAAAGAAATTTGTGCGTCTCTTTGAAAACGTTTCACCAAGCACCTCTCACCAAGAGCCTTGTCATGCCCTTTTATACACTGCCTGCTCTTGATACAAAGCTAGTCTATATCCATAGCCAACCACACCTTGGGATAGCCCATACATCGACTATGGGATACAAATTCTAAAGGAAGACTCACGGCTTTAGACGGTGCTTCACAGTTCACAGTGGGTAGCAAGAGTGAAGTTACACCAAAACAGAGGTCATCAGACCTCATCAGAAAGAGGAGCTCCAACCATTAATTGAAGCTGCAAGCAAGCATTGCTCCTTATTGTCACAATTGAGGGAGGCAGCTCAAAGGTAATGGAGATGTATCGCACGATGAAGGAAGAAAAAAGAAAGTTCTAAGTTCTAACAAAGTGTGGGGCACGAATATAAGGAATTTTAATTTGTGAAAAATTAACGAGTAAAGAAGCAAATGCAGAATTTACTGGAGATGACCTGGAGGGATATTGAATTCAACATAAAAGCTACTTATTATACTGAGTAAGCCAGTACAGATGATGAAAATCTTTCAAGCAGTGTGATTGCCAAAGAAAGTGTAGATTAAGGATCACTCACTGCACTGTTATGAGAATCTTGAATGTTAAGTTTCCTTTGTGATCTGAAGAGTTTTCCCAAAAGATCAAGGGACTAATGGTGGAAAGTTGCAGAAATGCAGAGTGACAATAAGATACTGCACTACTGCTGCCCATCATGCTCGTTGAAAAAGAGAAGAATATCTAAGAACATAATAATTTTTTTTATTAAAAACTATCATAGAATTTGACCGGAGAAAGTAAGAAAGAATGCAACAACAGGTGGGGAAGTGTTTAGATAGGGCAGAGAATTGATCAATTGAAAGGCTGTAGTATTCTAGATTAATAATATAAACCAATAAGATATAGTTCTGAGAACCAAAAATTTTAAATACTTCAAAAATATCATGACTATGATCACCTTCCACATGCCTTGAAGATATATACTTAAGTTATTATTCTAATAACTACAGATACATAATGTAAGGTTCATAATTATGACAGGATACATATTCTTATGATAGGCAAACAAGTAAATCAAAGACTTACCTTGTGAAATAGCAGGAGTTTATTGCGGCGTCCTTTCCTCTCACCATGGCCTTCTGAACTTAGATATAAGGAAGAATTGGATGTGATGGGGATATGGGTACATAAAGCCAGGGCATAGAGTGACTGGTCAAAGACATGTCTTGTCACATTCTTCACGGATGGAATTTCCGCTTCATCACCGGTGAATGCGCTGAAGATCTCCCTTTTGATGTTAGACAACAACTTATTCGGACGCATCTGGCCAGCTAATCCAAGCCACCTATAAACAGAAAATAGTACCTTGTTGGTTTACAATCAACGCATTTAATAGTTATAGAAAAAATTGACAGCAAAGAATTTAGGTTGAAAAAACTAATCCCAATGGACAACCCAGCTCCAAAAGGAAAGAAGGAAACCGAGCAGAGCTACACAATTGAGCACTTATACAACTTTGATATAGATGTTTAGCAAGCCTAACATGAGATGTCAACACATTTGATTTGGTTCACTTCTTGAAGCTTCTAACGAGGAATTAGCATGGAATCATGATCCCTAAATGCAAACAGGATGATGCTTGATTTGACACAAAGAAAAAGTCAGTTCTGCGTATGGTTGTTTCTCATTTCACCTAGAGCATCGTTCGGAGTACAATAATGAAAAGAAATTATCATTTAGTGCCTCAGCATGCAAGATTCAAGTAGTCATGTCCAATTTTACACAAAATCTATGCATCAGAAAACGTGTAGTAACTATTCAGAAAACACAAAAGCACATGGATATGATTAAATTATTTTTAATTCTTCAAATTAATTGGGGTTCAGATGCTTTGGAAGAAAAAATAAAGATGAAGCATCCATAGTCAATTTTTCACTCACAAACTTGTTCCTGACGTGAAAAGTAAACCAATTAACTACAAATGCACAGGAATTTACCATTTGTGGGAACATGATGAGGATAAGACTAGGACAATAGGCAAGGTAACATATGCAGACATGCCTCTGTTGCACAATATGCTCTATGCATTTGTGAGTGACAACTAATTATAGAAGACATCAATCAACTAAATTAGTTTCCCAAGAGGATTCCCCTACATGGACTAGAGACAACCAAGTACTGTATTAGGCTTCCTAAGCTCTACCGAGCGCAACAACACATTTAGTGTATAAATGTACACATTTTCTGATCAATCTGTAGAAAAACCTATCTCTACAACTCCAATACATGTATTCATATAAGCTAAATAATGAAACATCACATGCCTACGAAATTAAGAATATCACCACCACCAAATCTTACAAGCTCTATGCAAATATTTCTCTGAAAGTAAAAATTTCGTCCAGGCTTATCAACAACTCATAGCTTGATAAAAAATAAAGTCAAAAACCATCAAAATGCAACCAAAATTCACCAAGAAAAGGCAAGATTTTATTGAATTTCCATCAAAATGAATGAAACCTACATCAAAATCAACGCCTAACAACACAAATTTACAACTAACCTCACATACGCACATAAATTAATCACTAGTTCACTGCCCCATTTACAAACTAACCCAAAAACCCAAAATTACATAAACCAAAGTAAGATTATAACATACAAACAAACCCAAAATCAAACCACCCAATTCATAAAACATCAATTACACCCAAATTTAACACAGAATTTCAAGAATGCTAAAATAAAAAATGAGAATTAAATGGTAGAAAAACAAACCAGTCACCAAAAGAAGGACGAAGAAGAAGGGATTGAAGAGAGAAAGAACCAAGGTCCTTCTGAAAAGGGGTAGGAGAGAGAGAAGGGATAATTCCAAGAGGGAAGCCATTGCCAACAAAGGAAAGCTGCTGAACACGAAGGGCTTTACCAGCTCGAGAACCGTCAAGAGGAAAAGGGTCACCGGGAATAGCCTTTGCGCACCCATCTAGGTTCTGGGTGCTAGCTATGTCTAAGTCCCAGAACAATGCATCCATTGCTGTTCTCAAATTCGCCATTTTTAATGGAGTTTTTCTCTCTTTCTCTCTCCTCTAGCAATGGGTTTTTCCTTATCTATGTGAATTTTGTCTGTTTTGAGAGTGAGTAGCAGAGTGCAGAGTGTGCGCTCTTGCTGTTTGAATGACTCAGCTCATTCCCTGAAGCTGAGCCTTTTTAGGGGGTAGTTTTGTGTTAATCATAAAACTTTTTTTTTTTTATCAAAAATTAAATATGGAATAATGGCATTTTGGCAAGCCAAAATCGACCTGATTTAAGCGGATTTTGAAAACAACTTGTTTTTTGGTCAAAGTGAAACCCTTAATATAAGATCGAGCTGTTTTAAGGAGTATGAATTTACTGAAACATGTGATAATTTGCAACGAAACAGCTTGATTCAATTTAGAATAGGATAGAGTACATAGCAAGGGAAATAATCACATTTTCTTCTACTAATAATTTTCACATACATAAAATTATTAAGGATAATAATATACTTGTGGACAGAGTCTTAACTCTTAAGTCTCTTAACACCCATTACTCTTCCATAGAGTCCATCCCATCAGTTGGAGTACACGAGTATATATTTGTGTATAATTTTTAGTCCACGAGTACATAAATTTTTTGTTTTATGTAACAATGTTTTTACTTAAGTACTATGTTGATCATAACTCTGGACTATTATCTACACAAATTTTCCAGGAAGGGATGCGCTGTTACTCTGTTAGCATGCAACACAAAGTCACAAACACTAGAATAGTTCATGTGCAATAGTGCATGAAAGATAAAATATTGTGATACACGAAATCAAACAATTGATCTGGTATTATGGATTGCATATGAAAGTAAATATTGTGCAACACCAAATCCAAAGACTGATAGACATGGATAAACCATCATGTAATCGAACATGTTTCAACAGGAGGAGCAAGTCAAATGGTCGAAAACAAGTCCTATCAATCTTTTACTTATTGCCCAACCACGGAGATCATTTCGTGATTATCAGTTGACAAATGTAAACAAAAGCCTTGACAATTGCATGGTTTCCCACGTAGCAAAATTGATGAATTTTCTTGCTTGGATCAGCTAGCCATTGGGTGATTGTGAATATATTCAATGGCAAGCTTAGTTGAGTCAAGTTTATCTGCCTCCAAATCGGGAATCTCCAGCTTGAATTCCTCTTCTAGGGCCATCACAAGCTCTACATTGTCCAAGCTATCTAAACCTAAATCGTTCTGGAAATGTACATCAGGTGTGACCTGCAAAGCAATTGCAACAACGAAAATCAAAATCAGCTGGCAAATAAAAAAATAATAGACTATTCAATTGCTACTCCAGTTTGTCACTGAAAAACATTGCAACTGCTTTCTTAAGTTTAACATAGTTCTTTTCGGAGCTCCATCCTCACATTCTCACCAAAAGGAATAGCCTAATACTGAAATTCATAATCAAGTAACACTCAAACCAAGGAGCAAATTTACAGCAATCTTTCAGACGAGATCTATCCCAACTGGTTGGTCAAAACAGATAGTTTAGTTGAGGCTGTTGAGCTCATTAAGGTTGAAAAGACTACAAAACATCATTTTCTAACCCAATCCAACCAATAAAAGTTCTGTTGCCAAAGTGAAGCCTGAAGATGCACTAGATTTGAAGAATGGACGAGTAAATAAAGAGCCAACAGCACACTTTTATTTTGGAACATCACGGATCACATGTTCTTGTAGTTCATCAAGGGGCATAATTGCATCTTCTAGTGGGGAAATCTATCAAGACCATCAGCATCAGTTGGGGGGGGGGGGGGAGGGGAGATGTAGATGGTACTTAAAGTCTTAAACAAAAGTTGCTTCACTAGTTGCCTGGTAAGGAAATCACCATAGAGGCAAGCCATCTCGTAAAAAAACACTTTCATACTCAGCACCATATACAACAACAACAACAAATCCTTAGTACCAAAATGATTTGGGGTCGGCTAACATGAATCGTCATAAGGAACCGTCCGATGCTTAGACAGGATTTATACTATGTTACTGTGGGCCTGTTGCGGTTTTTGCTAACTATTAGATATTCACCTCAGTAGTTGTCCTTCCTCTGAATCCTAATTGATCTCATCATACAGCATTTAATTGCTTATTTGCTCCTCGAGTTGCATCTTTCTACCTCTTGAGATCAAAACATAACAAAGGTATACACGCCATTTTGTGTAGAGAACATATAGTAGTATTGCCTTCTATTCCATCATAAAGCTGTGATATTTGGACCAACCTATGATGTTGGTACCATGTATTTGTCAAAAAAATTTAGGGTGTTCATCTAGACTCTCCTCATATTAATCTCTTTTCCCAACATTTCCCGCTCTCTCTCTCAACACATCATTACAAAAAAAAGTACACTGTAAGGCTCGAAGCTAAATGAGATAAGTGCCCAACCTTTAGCTACCCCAGAGAGGAGAAAAAAGAGATGAAAACAGGAAAGACAAAATGCTAATCGACATTATGTAGATTAGCATACAAAGAGAGGGAGGGACCAGAGAGCTAAGCAAGTATCTGTAACCAATTAATTAACAGTCTCTAACACATATTTTTCAACCACTTTAATATATAACAGAAATAAAAGTCTTAATTATTGGTCAATCACAAAAACAACAAAAATACTTGAAGGCCTCAAAACTATCCGGGAATTAAAATTCTCCCCTTTTTTTTTTCTTTCCAAATTGACATGCAGCAGAGCATGGTTGATTTCTCCTTATGGTAGTAGATGGCTTCTGGTTAAAATTGATTGAGGAAAGTCATTAAGTGTAGCAACCTAGGACTACGAGCCATATTTCCAGTATCTTATAATTATTTTTAGTAACAGGAATGAGGGAAGTGAAGAATTAAGGAAAAAAGAAATGAATTTGGAAAGGAGTTACAATAAATATTATTGCCAATTGCTGACTTCCAGAAGCAGGTTATGGGTCATGACTAACAATGTCCAGCTTTCAGACTTTTCACTTGTTACTTGTCATTCAAAAGTCTTTGTATTAAACTTTCACGTTTCTGTTATGCACATAGAACTGAAATGATTATCAAATTAACTTCAGAAAATTAAAGATATTTCTGAAAGCTGTCCAAATTTAGATGATCTCTGTCCTAAATTTTCAGAATTGCTGCAAGTTCCTCGTGCCTCCACAAAGAATGAATTACACACATGTCAAGGTCACACTTCATATCATCATATAGTGAACTAGGAGCCTTAAAAAGTAGGAAGTAATTCCTCATCATAATACAACCACAAATCATGCGATTAACAGGTTTGCTTCTTAGAGCCTATTTTTATGCCTGATTTTGAAATCCTTGGAGATTATCTCCTTTAAATTTCGAAAAAGCCTCTTCAAACATCAAATTATCCATACCTTACATCCTACACTGTATTGTCAAGCTAGGAGTTTCAAATATCATCCTTAAGCAGTAGTACAAAGTCTCATATGGGTTACAACACAATATTACCTTAATCATATTGAAATACCTTAAGAGACAGATCTTGCTGTTTCAACATACCCTTTTCTAAATCATATTCTTTCTAAGAGTATTTCATCAATTTTATTAGCAAGAAGTGGGAATGAAAGATGCAACCAAAGACAAACATATAGATATCATGTGCAAATTTCCTATAAACAATCTAAGGAGAAGAGTGAATAGGGACATCTTCAATCTACCTCAGAAAATAAGATAACACACGGTAAGGAGGATTGAGGAAGGCTACAAAAGAAATAGTAGACAACAAAGTCCTCTGCAATGATAGTTCTTAGTTTATCAGGGACTTAACTCCACCGGACATAAAAGTAAGAGTTTGGACCTGGTATTACAGGTATGATGGACCTTGATCATGATAGTAACTTTGCTATAGTCATATGGTCATAACTATAACGGTCCTGCATATCATTTACACAAACCCCCAAAAAACCTAACAAGAACTATCCCAAAGTATATTGTTCAGATACCTTAGCACATAAGCCTCCTTAGCAATGAAAGACATTATGTCAACATAAACCTTCCAATACACTTTAAAAACCCATATAGCCTCCATTGAGTTCATCAACATTAAAAATGAAATACACTGTAGAAGAAAACCCCAATCATAACTCAACTACAACAAAGATTTACAACCATCTTTTAGGACTATTCATCACTATCAATTAATGCAAAATCTAAATTCCATTCTACAGAAAGCAAATATCACCATATCCATTCTAAACCACATGCAAAATAACTGAGCTTCCATACTCCATTATAGTACTAGCTTATCCATTCCAATCTTATTTAACCCCTCCAAAATTAATTTGACTGACACACATTTCTCCTTACTATAACTGCAAGCTACGGATTTCCTCCGAAATGTGCAATCTTTACATTACCCACATAACCTCAACATGGTTTTCTTCAAGACAACTCCAAATTACAAAATTTAAGCTATCATAAAGGACAACCACCACCAAAAGCCAAGAAACAATATATTCAGTTACACCTCACTTTGCATTTCACCGTTCTTCGTCAAAAGATTCATTCTTTCAAACCCTAAAGAAGCTAAAACATCAAAATTAACAACCCCGACATCTCAATCATTCGTTAGCTCATTAAATTAGTCCAATGCCCTACAAAAATCTTCAAAATACTGATCTATACATCCAAAACTCTCACAGCTATAATAAATAAATAAATAAATAAATAAAAATCCATCAACCCCAATTTCAAAAAAAAATAAAAAAATAAAATAAAATTATAGTATAAGAAAATATCAGAAAACCCAACAATCCCAAATTCAAATTTAAGAAAAACAATCACATTATGAATCAATACCAGAAAGAAAAAAAAAATTTGACAAATCCAAATGAGTAAGACCTAATTTCAGGAGAGAGAAAGAGAGGGGACCTTAGAAGGATCGACTTTGGGGAAGTCTTTGATGACTGCGAGAACTCTTTGAGTGACTTCATCTTTGGTAAGATGGTCATCGTGCGATGAAAATGCACGGCTAATTAAGTTAGGAAAGCTCTGCAATTTGTTGGATCCAGCAACGGAAATGGCAGTTTGAGAAACAGGGATTCGAATGTGCCCTAGAATTGCATTTTTCAGAGCTCCAATCATCGCCATTTTTCTGGGTTTTTTCTCTCTCCTCTGGTGGACTGTGATGTACAAGAACAAGGGTTTTGTTTCAATTGGGAATCAC